GCTTCAATTTCAATTTCGTACTTGTCCTTTTTTTCATAATCTATCAGACCTTTAACAAGTATCTCGCCTGTTGCTGTATTGATATCAAAAAGCTTAAATAATTGATTACTCACACTGTTACCAAATGAGTAATACACTTCTCCATTTTGACCCTCATCTAAATCAGTTGCATTTACCTGTACGACTGTTGTGCCTATTGGAGAATTTTCAGAGAGCGTAACAGAGTAAATATCCTTTGAGAAAACAGGAGTGTTATCATTAATATCCAAAACGTTTACTACAATATTCATACTACCAGTTTTGGGAGGTTTACCTCCATCCAGCGCTGTCAGCACTAATGAGTTACTTCCTGCTGCTTCCCTATCCAAAGATTTCTGCAAAACCAATATTGGTATTTTACCATCTTCTCCTTTATCCCTAACTTCCAAACGGAAATGATCGTTGTGGCTGAGTTTATATTGCTGCACGGAGAAATGACCGCTGTCTTGATCCCGCGAGGGTTTCAGCTGAAATCGTGCTCCAGGCAACACGGACTCAAAAATGTCCAAACGTTTCTCTTTCTCTGGGAAACTGGGAGAATGGTCGTTTATATCCAGCACCTCCACTACAACATAATGTACCTCCAGAGGGTTTTCTAGCACGGTTTTCAGATTTATTAAACACGTACTAGTTTGTGCGCACACCTCTTCTCTGTCAATCTTTCGGCTTACATACAGGACACCATCATTCTGATTTACATGGAAAAGGGGATCGGCATTACTAGAAACAATCCGATACTTCCTGTCTCTCAGTGTGCTTTTATCCAGTCCCAGATCCTTTGCTATATTTCCAACCACAGTTCCTTCGTTAACTTCCTCAGAGATGGAATATCGTATTTGCGCCGAAGCCATGCTCCAAAAAAGCACAGCAACCACGCAGCCGACCAAATATCCTCTCTCCCTTCGTCTCTCGTATCTTCTTTGTTCCATGATTAAACGCGAAATCATCAGTAGTCCCTCCCCAAAACAATAACAGCGTTATAAAGACGGAATCCAACTCTTCAATGTCTGAAAATATTCATCGTCGTCCTACAATGACAGACATGAGGGAAGTATTTCCAAAGGCAGCCGTCAACTGATAAACGATCGTGTATCCAACTGAAGAATCCACCAAGAGGCGGAAACAAAATGCGCAGATTTGCACATGCAATCCAGA